TACATTATGCTTCATGATTCTATGTATTGAGGCATTGGCTGATACTGGTACTGCCTGTAAAGGGCACTGGTACTGGCTGGAAATCATCAGGAAGTGGCTCAAGCTTTTCCCTCTCACAATGGTTTAGTGTGGAGGGTGGTTGAAGGAGTGCCAACAACCATCCAATGACGTGTAGAAAAAAATGTAACTGAAAAGTAGAACAAGACAAGCCTTGGAGGCATGTGTAAAAACATAACCTGTTTCCCAACAGTCACGTGCCGCCAGGGAATCAAAGCACTTTCTTGCATGGCCAAAAATTGCTGTTACCCCTACTTACAATCTTGTTTGTAGCTACTTAGGATAAAATAGATGTTGGATCCTCTGCTACACTTTCCTCTTTTTCACTAAGCAGACCAGTCATACAAAAAAGCATGTCAAACAATCAGACCCAAAGATGCAGGAAGCTAAAGTTATAAGTCTTGACTTTGCCTTGTGACATTCTAGCTTGGTCCCTCTCCGGTCTCCCAAACCTCCATGTTTGGAGGCTAGAAGTGCAGAACAGGGTGCTGTAGCCAAACTCAAGTTTAACAGTCTGTGATGTGCACATGATTTCAGTTACCTGTAGCTCTGGGTCTACTGATCATTCTGGCAACCAGTATCTTAAAGCTTTATTATAGAACTGTAAGTATACCATTTCACCAAGCTACTAAATCATACCCAACAGGAAAGCAAATGTTGTAAGCAACAGTGTACTTATGAAACAATATTTTTGTAAACATTACTTAAAAATCAATGTTGCAATCTTTATTCTGTTCACCATGCCACCTATTTAAAGTCAAGCAACTAGGGGCAAATGCACACAGACTGAATTATCTGTAAAACCTTACCTGTACTTGGCCACATTTCATAAGCTGGGAGATTCTATCATCAATTAGAGAGAAGGAACCCACTGCACTGCCTTCCAAATCACTGGTATCCCTTGCTTGGATAAAGAATCCAGCAAATTGTGGCCCGGATAATGTGACTGAAATGTTGAAAATACAAATGTAACGGCAGTTCATAGCAGAAAATAATTCTTGCCCTATCAAATAACATTGGCTAACCTGTGAAAGGGCTCAAATCATGCATTTGGCAATAAATGATTGGGACAGAAAATAAACCCAAAAGACATATCTCAAGTCAGAGTTAAATACATCTACAGACAAGTGCCCTAGACAGTATTAAATTGACACTAAACTCGGGTGTTAAATCTTAAAAATGCATTCAGGTACCCCAACTGTTATCAAAAATGTATCTTATTTGTGTATCACTCGGCTGTAGATCCTCAAATCATCTCTGAATTGGTGTCGACGCTGTCCTTCCTTCTGGTGGGTGGCTACTGCTGTTCCCCAAGGTCCCTGTGTGTGTTGTAAAGTAGCCACTGATCCAAGCTCACTCCCACTATGGACTACAATCTCATGTTTAGTTTACTAATTTGTATTGAGATTGTAGTCCATCACAGGGGTGAGTTTGAAGCGGTGGCTACTTTACAACACACTCAGGTTTCATGGGGAACAAAAAGTAGCCACCCTCCAGAACCAGGGACAGTGCCGTCACCAATTCAGAGAATCTACAGCCGGGTGATACACAAATGAGATACATTGAGGGGAATTTATCGAAACTGGAGCAGCTGTGTATGACAACCAATCAGCCTCTCTTTTTCATTTTCAAATATTAACTGAACAGACTGAAGAGAGAAGCCGATTGGTTGCCATGGACAACTGCTCCAGATTTGGTCTTCTCCATTTTTGATAAATTCCCCTCACTGTTAATAGTTTGGGTAATTTAATGCATGTTTAATGTTAAAACTCCCGAGTTTAGTGTCACGTTAACTAAACTCTGTAAGGTGCCACACACTCACACATAAAAGGAAACTGTGATACCCTCTGGCAATCCTTTTGTCACCCAACAAGAATATCAGCTCGTCTTTGTTTGTCAGCACATAAACTGAATGCCTGAGCAGTGCAATTCTGGATTATCGGTTATACTGGTAGTGCCAGATAGGGAGTTGGTCATAGTTTTACAAATCATCAGATTATCTGCATTGGAGTGCTTGCTCTTAGGATTCTACGCCATGACTGGGACTCTGTTGCTAAATAAGTGTGTGCAATAAACTGTTAGCTGCAAAGAAGACATTGAATACCCACCTCTCCTGCTGACCACACTGCCAATTACTGCTGTAGTGGAGAAAAACCCAAACACTGAAAGCATTGATTTCCTCAGCCCCCTCAGTGGCTTCTCCCACATGCCCCATTACTTTGCTATATGACACAGTAGTGGCTTAGGGGGGTCAGTGGATCAAACCACAGAGTGCAGCAGGGAACAGGGAATCTGCCACTCCAGGAAGTGTTCCGATTCTGTAGGTCCTTTAGCAACAATCACAGCAGGAGAGGGGCGTATTCATGACCTTTCTTTGCAGGGAACAGTTGATTGGGTATCATAATAAAACCAAGAAAAGATGTGCATATAACAGGGTTACCCACCTACCACCACCCTCCAGGAAGCTTCATCTTTAAGGCCACTCTGATGACTTGCGTACTGCCGATGTATCCCCCTCTCTCACCAGCCTGTATGGAAGTGATGCCCGGCTACAGAATGCTTTCTGGACCTGGCCTTCAGCTCAAAGTAGAGGCAGCAATAACAACAACTCTTAACATTAATCAGGAATAACTGAGCATTGGTTTCCCTCCCTCTTGTATTTGGGACAGTGACAGTAATATTAAATGCCCCTTCAGTGGGCAAAAGTAGACACTTCATGGGGAACAAAAGTAGACACCCTTCAGAAGGAAGGACAGTGTCCGCACCAATTCAGAGATGATTTGAGGATCTACAGCCGAGTGATACACAAATAAGATACTTTTTATGTTAATATTGAAAGGTACTTAAATGTATTTTTAAGATTTAACCTCCGAGTTTAGTGTCACTTAAAGAGAAATCCACTATGATGTTCATTATTAAAGTTTTTACCAAGATGAACCCGTCTGTCCCTGCTTCCATTACATTATTCACCTTTTCAATCCATTGGGGGATTGATGGCAGTCGAACACATCCCCAGTGGCGAGGAATCCACCTCTTTGCAGCATTAAATTGACGGCGACACTACATTTATATTGCTTTAGTGAGAGAGGGGTCATCTGATAAGACGCTTACCAGTTATGTCCCCGTAAAGCTGAGTCCCAATACGGTTTGATTTTGGGATATTCCCACCATATGTGGAGGAACATGCTACATTTTCATACATGAACATTAATATTTCGTAGTCTGCTTTCTGGTAAAAACATCACTATACACAGACACACACACACACACAAACACACACCCGCCAATTACCTTTAATGTGATCGCCAGGTTTAAATGTCGTTTTATCCACTGTTATATCATGAACAACCCCTTCTTGTGGTACATGATCATGCCGAGGCATCATTGAGTCGCAGGCTTTTGCTACTTTTCCATTTGGGTAGCCCTTCACTGGCGCGGGGGTGTATGTGAGAAGCCAGAGGACAAGGACAGCAGCAGTTGGAGTCATCTATACAATGAAAGACACAATTAGTCTGGCCGTTCTACCTTTTAGTTTGTACCACAAGGTCTAATAGTAATGAGAACTTAGTAAACAGTTGCTGTATTGTGCTTCAAGGAAACAACTGCATGCATGACTGCTGCATAACAGAGGTTCTCAGTCAGGGATAGGTGTATCCGCCCCCACCTGGGGAACTTCAAACAGGTTCAATGAACATTCCTCCTTGTCAGATAAAATGCAGGCTATGAGCTTGAATGGTTAATAAATAATAATAATTCATGTGTGATTTTTTTTTTTATAAGCCTTATAAACCATAGATACTCATTGGAAGATTCGGAAAATTAATGTACAACCTTTTAATTGAACCTGTGATCACCAACAATCTAATCTGGCAGTATGGGCCCATTTACACTGATGTATTTTAACACAAGACAACATATGTATACAGACCCCTCTCTTTTGTCGTGGGGCATCACCCCTCTCTTTCTGATCCCCCATCCTAAAGGCATTTCCTCTAAGGATACAAAATACTAATAGTTGTCATGGTCATTGTAAAGAGGCTCCCCAATGCTACAGATATTATTTAATCCGCAATGTATTTACCAAATGATGTTGCTACCTGTGTAAATGTACTACCGGGTTCCATAGCAGTCACATGAGGCTCAATTCACAAAGCCCAGCTCGCTTTCCAGTATTAAGCGGCGGCTGAATGCTGAATACAAAAGCCATCAGCCGCCATTTCTCCACCCACACTGTTTAGCATGGAATCGATGGATTTCCCTCATTCATAGAGGACAAGACACATTTGAAGAGTGTATGGCCAGCATAAGACCTCAACCCCTTCTATGAAGTGCTGAAAGAGGTCTGTGGTAGTTAGTAAAATAATAAAACATTATGTATTTACTACGGGTGCACTCAAATTATCATTTAAAAACCGAAATGAAAAAAATGTTAGGCCGAAACCAAAAATGTTTTTTATTCTAACTTTACAATTATTCATTTTTAATAAATATTTTAAGTTTTACTTTACTTTTAGGGGCTTTGTGGAAATATTAGGGGTCTAAACAGGCCCCTGATATTTCCCTTTTAAAATAGAAAAAAAAGAGACAGGATCTGTGAATGGAGAAACTACAGGTGCCATCAGCACCACGGCAGAGAAACCTGTAGTTCTCAATAGAGTTTAAGCGCAGTGACATCACCATGCTTTTACTCCATTCCTTCTTCATCTCTGCCATGTTACTGAATGTCCGTAACGAGATATGAACATGGACGGGAGGAAGAGTCTGCAGGAGCCAGATGCACTGCAAACAGGAGGTGCGTTGGGGTACCATTCAAATGAATGGCAACACAACGTACCTGCCACACTGAGGCTCCATTCACCCAAGAGCGGCTGTCTGCCCGTAATCGGCCAGCCGCATACGGGCGGAGCCGCTCTAAACAGAAAAAGCAATGCATTTTAATGTGCAGTGCTCAGACAATTGCGGCAGCCGCGCGGTACGAAATCGCACAGCCTGCAAGATAGTCCAAGAGTGATTTCTTTTAATGGATTCCGCACGTACGCGGCTATATAATGGCAGCAAACAAGTGGAATCCGTGTGGGTGAAAGTTTTTAGCTTTTTCGCTGCCACACGATCTTCCTCGCGGCAAACGCTATATTTGAATGGAGTCTCACGCATGGAAGGTGTGAACTGGCCTTTAGGCCCCGTTCACATTGAGCGATTTATCGCGCGGTAATTCCCGCGATATCGCGGCTATTTATCGCGCGGTAATTCCCGCGATATCGCGGCTATTTACCGCGCGATATCGCGCTCCAATGCTTGGCAATGGGGCATAGGGTCCTGCTGTCGCGGGTCGTGTGTCGCTACAGCAGGACCCTTTTTGGAGCGGATTTTGACGCGATTCAATGCTTTTTGATGCAAGCATTTGCGCGATATCGCTCGACAAATCGCGCGATATTTGCGAATCGCGCAGTGTGAATGGGGCCTTAATGAGGAACTTAAACCCACTTAGTCCAAATGAAATATCAAATCCCTAAATGTCCCTTGATGAAAATATTTTCTTTTTTTTAAAATCACTTTGCTACGGAGTGCAGCATTGTCTTCCTTGTAGAAGAAGTTCTCCTTGCCCCACCATCTTGAAATGAGATCCCACGCATGTGCAGACACACTGCAAACCTCTGTCAGGTTCCATAGACCTTGCAGTGCGTCAGAGCACGATCCCCTGCAGGTCTCAGCCAGGTCTACGGGACCCAACAGTGACCAAGTGCATGGCCGCACTATGTCATCCTCGCCTAGGTTAGGATTCAGGAAGTGAACTTCTAGAAAAAAAAAATGTAAAAAAGGTATTTAGGGTGAAAAAGTAACTAAAAGGAGAGAGAAGGCAGTGAGGGCGTTACTTCCATGGGTGAAGGTCCACTTTGATAATACAGCGATGGATATGCTCTTATGTTTACAGATTTTCATGGTTTACCTTTCTGAAATAGTTTCATGTATTCCCGTATTTAGGGTGTAACATGAAATATGGTCAGGCGGCAAAACTCCCTCCCCCACCCTACTTAGGGCTAGTTCACACCAGTCACAGTGCATTCCGGACCAATTCTGGTCTGAACGCACTGCATCGCATTACGTCTGGCTCACTTTGTTGTGAGCCAGACGCAATGCGACCGGCTTTCAGGGAAAAATGCTGCAAGCACTATTTTTCGGACCGGAATGCAGACATTGATGTGCCACGTGTTCCCGTGCAGCCGATCGCATTACAGGCGGAGGACGCGTGGCTGCGGTGCCATTCACTTCAATGCACCGCCACGCCCCCTCCCACCCCACAACAAAGTGAGCCAGAGTTTGTGGCTAGGTTAGAATGTGTCACACATTTCAACGTATTCCCGCCCAGTTTTTCGGCGGTGGAATGTGTGACCACCAATAGGTCAAGAATTCTAACGCTTTCTCAGCTGTTCCAGGGCAGATCGGCATCGCAGATGGTATGTGCAGGAGAACCGATCTCCCCTGAAAAAGCTGAACCGATCTGCCCTGAAAAAGCTGATTGGTCCCGAAATGTCACTTCTATACGACTTTGTGAGTGCGATCTCACATTCCACAAAGCCGGATAGAAGTGACATGTCAGGACCAATCAGCTGTTCCAGGGCAGATCGGTTCTCCTGCACATGCGATCTGCGATCCCGATCTGCCCTGGAACAGCTGAGAAAGCGTTGGAATTCTTGACCTATTGCTGGTCACACATTCCACCGCTGAAAAACTGGGCAGGATTACATTAAAATGTGTAACCACATGACCGGTCACACATTCCAACTAAGTCACAAACTTTGATAGAACACCAGCCGCAATGCGATCCAGTGCGTTACGGCCAGAATCGGGCCGGAACGTACTGTGGCAGGTTTGAACTCGCCCGCAGCTGAATTGCAGGGTCCTTCTCCCTCCGGGCTTGTGATCATTTTTTAATTCGGCGCATCTGTGCATGACTCCGCCCACACAGCCATTCTGTGAATGAAGAAAACTACAGGTCCCATCAGAACGGCAGTGAAACCTGTAGCTCTCAATGGAATACAAGTGCAGTGACATCACTGCGCTTGTACTCCATTCCTTCTTCCTCCCAGCCATGATACTGAATGTCTGTACTGAGATATGGACATGGATGGGAGAAAGAGTCTGCAGGAGCCAGAGCATTGCACCCTGATTCACTGATCATGGTTGCATTGCTTTACTGGCTCCAATGTAAAACAAAAACAGCAAATGCACATTATTCTTTATGAAAAAGTGTGCAATTGTTTTCTAAAAGGTGGGATTTCCTGTTGGCACCCCCCCATGGGGCCCCCTCCACCCCCAGGTTCCAAAGCATCTCTATTGACTGCTATGGCTACTGTCACACTACCGATCACCATGTGCTAGTAGCAGATAGAATCACATGACTCCCAGCAACATGGAAACACACCTACGGTAATTATACTTCAGAGTTCAGATACTTTGGCAGTAACAGGTCAGGCCTGTCCATATCTGTAATATTTTCATGTCGGAATTTACCAAAGCTGGAGCAGTTGACCCATGGCAACCGATCAGCTTCTCTCTCAGTTTGCTCATCTAAGCTTTGAAAATTAAAAGTAGCCAATTGGTTGCCACGGGTAACTGCTCTAGTTTTGATAAACCCCCCTATCGGCGCCAAAGCATAAGGAAATGACACTTCATGTCAAGGACTCCGCTCCTATCTACAAGACAACGCGGCTCATTCTGAGCAGGTGAAGATTATCTGGAAGCTGCAACACAGCGCAGATCGCTCCTGTCTACGGAAATGTCATATACTCACCGTTCAGCCCACACCGGAACCTACACGGGGACACACCGACCACACTCCACCTCCAGCAACTCACTGGGACAGGGACGCTCGCTCACCGGCGATCAGCATACTGAATCTCGGGAGGCGTGGATTTCTCAGCCGTTCTCTGATGATTGGCTGCATTCTCTGTTGGGCGTGTCGACTACTATAGAGCCCTGTATGTCTCAGTGTTAGTGTGTGTATGTCAGTAGTGAGTGTCATGTGACTTGTACACGATGATTGAAGGACTGCTGGTCACCTGCACATTATGAAAAAAAACAGTAGAATGCTCCTTCAAATCTCGAGTAGTTATTGTGGTCGAACATCAATGGAACGATGATATATTTTGATCGCAGTGTGGAAAAAAAAACTGTAAGGTGCAGGATTCAAATTTTAATTTGGGAAACTCCACTATTTCCAAAACTGAATGTTAAAAACACGAAATTTCGAATGACATTCGTCAAGTTTCTGATGGTATTATTGAAAGTGCTGACCGGATTTTTTTGTAGCAACGTTGGAACGAAATTCTAATGCCCCTTTCACATGGTCTGATCAGGAGGGGATCTGTGCCCAGATCTGCTGATCGGAACGCGTCCAGTTTTTGCCTCCATCTTGCGATTGAGTTACCAGACCAATGTTGGTCTATGGGGAATCGAATGTAAACGGACATATGTCTATTACATCAGATTACCTTCGATCTGGCATGATCAGGTCTAGTGAAACTGAACTCTGATCTGTTTGTTTTCCGGACCTCACTGGAGGCAGGGATAACCAGGTGTAAACGGACATCTATCCATTTAGATCCAGCTGCCCATAGACTAATATTGGACTTGCGATAAGGTCTGCATGAAAACCTGACAGGCGTACCCGTTCGGATCGTGTGTGTAAAAGGGCTATGTCTGTGTATACCCAGCTAAGCCCCTGTTCACACCTGGCCGTTTTGACGCTCAAAGCTAAGTGCGACAAAACTCTAAACACTAGAAATCCCATTAATTTCTATGGCCCCTGTTCACACCTGAGAGTTTTGTTGCAAGCTGTAAAACTCTGGAAAAGGTATATGAGCTTCTTTCAGGCAGATTACAGCACGTTTGGCCATATAGACTTCAATGGAAGTGCATTAAAACGCGTGACACAAACGTTTTGCAGATTTCTGTGTGCGTTTTGTGCGCACATGTTTCCTCATTCACAGCAATGCATTTTGATCTGCTCAAGTAAACGCACGTCTTTGTCTATGCGCGTCTAATGTGTGTAGAAATGTGCAAAACGCTCATACCATGCGAGGGAACAACGTGCATAAAAACGTGCAGAAATGCTGATGCCTATGTGTGAATGGAGACTTAAGGCGAACCTTTTTTTTTTAAAGGGAGTTTAAATGTCAGCACTTCCCAGAGTTATGTACCTTTTGGAAACCCCCTGGCTGACAGCTGAATGTAAACAAAGGGGACGGGATGCTGGTTGACATCGCCAAGATCACTTGTAAAGAAACAAGTGGCGACTTCCCCCATTGTCCATTTAGCCCTGCTTGTGCAATATAGAAAAAAAATTACCGCCCGGAGCTCGAAACTCCATGTTCCGGGCGTCGGGTGACTTCAAACGTGTGCCGCCCCTCTTCTCCGTGCCGCCCTGAGGCCGGGCCTAGGTGGCCTTGCCGGGAATCCGGCCCTGGTGGCGCTAAGTCTTTATTGAATTCTCCCTAGTGGGTCCTCTGTGATCTTTAGGCAGTGCTGCAATTACTTCAGGTCTCTTACGGTGTGCGTAGAGAGTCCCTCCCTGGTCACCTCCTCCATTCAGAAAACATCTTGTATTATTTCAATCATTACAAGAAGTTCTCTGACACAAGATGGAGAGGAGGGTGGATGATGTCACAATCTACCCTTGTCCAATCAGAGCATGCTTAAAATCTAGTTTTCAATACACTTTATAGAAACCTTTGTTTGTACTTTTCTTTTATATATTAGAATACCATACATAATCATTTCAACACACTAGCATTACACATTACAAAATGTAGGATTTACTGAATGAGAACCACACAAACAGAATGTTGTTCTTTTATATATAAAAACAACAAACATTTTCCAACCTGAGCCATCAATTTTTCTTGTCACTATAGCCGAACACGATTGGCAGTTTGTCAACTTAAGGTGCCCATACACCTTACGATTATCGTTCGATTTCTTTCGTCCCGTCATCGAACCCCTGTTCAATTTCCGCTTGAATCATCATGCACTTCAACGCACTTCAACGCACAGACCAATGTAGATTTTGATTATCGTTTGTTAGCAATACTAACTGGCCGAATTTCGTCGATCTACAGAACGGATTTTAGTTTGCGCATGTGCAGTGTTCATGTTGTGATTTTTTTCTGTACGAAAACGCCACCAATCCATCGAATTTCATATGATTCAAAAAAAGTTTTCCAGCCTGACCGATAGAGGAAATTTGGCCAGTTGTACAGTAATTGTGATTGTTCACTTCCCATCAACTGGCCGATTATTGTACAAAAACCCTGTCGTGTTTGTTTTTCGAATGACAATCGCAAGGTGTCAAGGTGCCTTTAGAGAAACTAACAAATGTTTCAAAGACAACATTTTTCTAACCAAATTTTACTGGTGTATGGCCAGTGGCCAACTTTAGATCATAAGCACCTTGAGGGCAGGGGCTGATGTGAACTATTCGTAAGTAAAGCACTGCGTAAATTGACAACACTATATAAAAACCGTTAATGAATAAATAGGTACAATAGTAAGTTGGGTGATTAGGAAGCAGCAGTAGAATTGTGTGTTTTAAAAAATGTAATTCTCTTAAAGAGCTGACCCTCTGGTCTCCAGTAATATGCATGGCCACAAATAGTTTGCATTATATGGCACACACAGATATGTATTTGCATGAAGCACTTTTTTTTTTTTTGTCAGACCAGCAGCAAACATCGTCCTTTTGATCCTTTTACTTCAGAGACTCTAGTTTACCAGATACCAGCATCATTCTGGGTTTGATAAGTGCTCCTAGCTTACATTTGCGCTCTTAGATAAGGGACGCTGGTGTTAGAGATACCAGCTGTGCACAGTTCTGATAACTGCTCAGCATGTCCTTGTGCATGTATTGGTCTGAAGCCCAGTTTAATTATTTACTTGTTGACATTAGAGGCTCCTACCTATTACAATGGAGGACAAAGATAATTTACTTTTAGCAACAATAGGCATCAAAGAATACTCTTGGCAAAATACATAATTTAGTTAAATATGTATGTAAAACCTATGTTTGCTTTTTATGTGCCACTTACCACCTTGTTAACATGGGTAAAAGTGTTTTTGTTACTGTGTTTCAAGTGCGTTGAAGTGCACATAAAACACAGGTCGCCAGATTCACATTTACTTCACTGATGCAGTGTATGAACTGCTTTGCATTGCATTTGTTTGAACAAAGTCAGGTCTGGCTCCAAGCCATTTTTTTTTTTAAGCTGGTGCAGGGAGTATAAGTGGGGTGCTTAGTTATCGATCCTGAATCCGTGTTATAATAAAAGCAGACATAACATAATAAGAGTTGATTAATCAGAAAATGAATGAAAGATTGTAGTGAAGTCAGATTGTATAGAAACTAGGGATGCACAGATACTTTTCGAGTACCAGTGCATACTTGGCATTTTCATGAGAACTACCAGGGTTGCAGTGGTTGCAGCTGGGACCTAGCTCTGGCACTCCACCATTGTCCTGAAATCATTAGTCTGTATTGTTTTAGAAAAACTGTCACATGACAATAAACAAAAATGTATCAGTACTCGTACTTGTAAGTACTCGGCAAGTACCAGTACTCGTACTCGCAAAACTGGTATCTGTGGATCCCTTTATTTATATTTATAAAAACAAAATCGTATATTAAAACAGAGATGTACAAATCCCAGGAGCTCCGTGTGCTCCTTACAAATGACAACTGCCTCCTAATTTTTGAATTTTTCTCGAGTCTAGTCTTCGAGCTCAAATGTATCGGTACATGTACTCGTACTTGTACCGAGTACTGTACTTGGTATCTGTGCAACCCTAATAGAAACCATTAAAAGTGTAATAAGAACACAGACTGTAGCCGCTTTTAAGCACGTTGAAGTGTACAGAATGCAGTGGTCAGAAGTATGTAATTGTGTTCCTTACATAGCTGGTCAGCAAGCGCAAAAATCATTTCTATATTTAATGTCAGTGGGCATAAAAATAAAGAAATTGAAACGACACCTTGGAGGGATTATAAGGGGGAGAGAGAGGAGAGACAGCAAGGACAAAGAGCGAGAAGAGATAGCCAGGAGAAAGAGTGAGAAGAAACATAGGGTTGCCACCTTTTCTTCCAGCGAAACCCGAACACTCTAGCAACGCACAGAGGACATCCCCGTCACTAAAGCTGGCCATACACCTATATATTCTCTGCAGATTTTCTATGGCCAGATGGAAAGAGTGCAACAGATTCCTCCATCTACGCTAAACTGTGTGGATGGAGGAATCTCTCGTTGGGCCATGCTGGCCGTCATAATACTCAAACAATCTGATTTTGCTGAATACTTCTGCAAAAGCTGCTTGTTTCTGGCTTCTGATCATTGTGGCAACCAGCTGACATGCAATGTCAGGATCAGTGTCACTAAGGTTATTATTGGCTGTCCCTGAGTTTGGGGCAGCGTATTAATAACCAAAAATTACTTTAAATGATCAAGCAGTCATAGTGACATCCATTCACAATGACTGCTTGATATAATTGACAAGCCAGTGTTTGTAAACACTGGCTTGTCATGTCCCCCCTCCCCTTCTCTCCCTGTCAGGGACTGTGAGAGAAAATAAAAATAACTTTGTGAAAAAAGGTGTTAATTTTTTTTATTTCACCCCATCATGACGGTGATGCTTAAAGTATGTAGCTGTCACTAGGTGTGACACTTAGTGACATTGTATGCCAGGTGACTACTATTAGCTATTAGAGAAAAAATAAATAAATGTTAGCTTTCAGTTTTAGGCTGAGAAGTACAGAACCATTTCTGAAATCCTAAGAATGTGAGGTGTTATCAAATAAAGGACAAATCAATAATTTTATTGTAATGCATTTTTTTTAGCTGTGCTATTTTTCTAAGAATAATAATAATGAAAACTGGGGAAAAGTTTTTTTTATATTTTATTCATATAATTTTATTCATTTATTCATATATTCATATATTTTATGTGATATAATTATATAGCCCTATCTGTCCTCTAAAAAACAATATATAATATGTGGTGGGTGCACTTAGTAAGAAAGTATATTACTGCCGTGGAAGAATCACACAACAATGTAAAATGTGCTTAGTCATTAACAAACAGAAACTGAAAAAAAGCTCAGTCATGAAGGGGTTCATCATCCTGTAAATTCTTAATGATGAGCATAACTGGGGGCATGGCAGCGGTATGTCCATTGCCTAAATACAGTAGGCTATACGCAGAATGAACAGCTATGAAAAGGTCTTATTTTTCAATTCGCAGTGCACTTGATGGAGCTGAGGAGCATAAGAAATTCCTATGTTCTTCAGCTCTCTATTGGCCATTTTGCACTCCGAATCTAAAACTCAGACATTCATAGAGCTGTTCATTCTTTGCACATTTAATACATTAATCCCTTTGTGCTGGAAGGTGTCTCTCTTTCTCATCTCAAAATGTTGGGAGATATGGGTGCTGGAGGTGTCTGACTGCACTCCTGCCTCTATAAGCATGCACACCAAGGCAGCCCAGGGGTAAATATTTATGAAACATGCTGCTGAAAAACAAAAATCCTGGGTGGTTAGATAAAGCCTGAATGTCTAACCATCTTCAATTTTCTGAAGCCAGACTTAGTGTATCAACTATAATTAACAATGTCTTGTAATATTAAGCAGTGAGTCACCCCACATTAACCTGAAATATGTCAAAAGTTACACAGTAAGCAGTTTCCATAAACATAATTATAAGATATAACCTTGATGTGCCAGAACAGATCTTTATTTACCTTGCATGATAAATGGTTTCAGGTGTTCTTTAATTGGCCACAAAGTAGGCACAAGAAAATATGATCATAAACCATTACCAGACGAGAGCCAACAGATACAACAAGCAACAGTATTGGCAAGGGGTCCTTCACACCTGTGGGCATGCATTATGCTGTGTGTAACGCACACTCGCTGGGCTGTGAACCCATGCTGCAATGTGTTGTAACAAAGCATTACATTTACATTATTCTTTAAAAAAAAAAACTTTATTGGAAGTTAACATCCAAATAATTGCATTCTACTCTAGGTGCAACAGCAGTTTATGTTGTAACGTGTTGTTGTGCATTGGAGTGCATTGCTGGATTTTGATGCAACGCAACACACTTGTAAGGTGTGAACAGGTCACATAGAAATCAATGCTTTTTTGTTGGTTTTTGCACCAGGTTTGCTATAATCAACCCGGATCAACACAAATTAACCGACATGGTGTGAAAGAGCCCTAAGATAGATGTCCATGCATTGTCCCTTGTCAGCTCCTCCCATGCTCGCCTCCAGGACTTCACTAGAGTCTCTCCCATCCTATGGAACTCTTTACCCCAACCAGTCCGACTATCTCCCTCTCTGACTGCCATTAGGCGATCCCTTAAGACTCTCTTCAGGGAAGCCAATCCCACCTCAACCTAACCACTGAACTATTACGTTCTCAAACAACTCATCCCCACACAGATACCTACTGATATATCACTTCCCCTCCCTATTAGATTGTAAGCCCTCACAGGCAGGGCCCTCCTTACTATCTTGTCTTGAATTGTATTGCGATTGTAATGTCTTCCTTACATTGTATTATATGCTTACAAAAATATATTGTTTTTGTAAGCAGATTTTGCCACATTTATTTGAAAGTGCAAAACGCTGGTAAAATGTGCGCAAAAACGCAAAAAAATAATAATCGCAATGCGTGTTTTCAAGCATTTTCTATTGAGTCTATCGGGCTGAAAACTGCCCAAAGTAGCTCTTGTACTGTTTTGTGCGACAGGCGTTTCTAGGCATGCGACAAAACACAAAGGTGTGAACAGGGGTCATAGAAAAGAATGGGATTCCTGGGGTTAAGCGTTTTCTTGTGCTGAATCAGCTGCGACAAAATGCCTAGGTGTGAACAGGGCCTAAAGGTGAAAGGTTACACTCATTGGTCACCAGTCCTGTGCTCAGCTGATTGAAGGTCTGTCC